GAAGGAGCCGGAACAAAGATAAGACAATAAGACAAGGGTGACCCGACATCTTACCAAGTCATGCTCACTCCATATGCTTGAAATCTATACCCCTCCACCGACTAGTGACTCAACTAATCCAAGTCAAAAGGACTTTAAAAGGGGTTGTAAGGTAGGCTATGAGGTAAAGGTGAGTAAAAATATGAAAATTTGGTGGTAAATCCTAATTGTGAAGCAAAGAATGGCGCCAATAATTCTCAAAAACAACGTAGAACATCACCAATTTCCAAACAAAAATACATCTCCCCCAAGCTTATTCAACACAATCTCACAGAACTATAAACAAAATGCGTAGAACCTCTCCCCCAAGCTGGAATTGAGCATTGTCCTCAATGCTCAAACTAGGGAGGACACTACATCAAAATCTTTTTGCAAATTTTCATTCCTTTTTTTTTTGAGCTAATGCTTTTGTCAACTTTTATTACGTTGTCCTTGCCTTTTATAACTATGGACGACTTTTTCTTAAATTCACAATTGCTTTTATTAAACACAAAAATATAGAAAACACAACCTTACTTCCATATCAAACCATCACCTTCCAACTTATCAGACCAAAATCACAACACACTTTCATGGCTCAAACTCACAATTCTACAGGTGAAAAATGAAATAGAAGGGCCATAGTGTTTGTAATATAATATTCTACAAACAAGGAGGTGTAGGCTCAACATGGCTAGCAAGGGGAAAATGCAAATGAAATTACAAAGAAGCAACAAAAGAAAAGCTAAACCTAGAAAAGCAAAATAGTCACCGAAGAAAATGCCTTTGTCCTCCCTAGATTTAGTTCGGTTGCGATCTCGGGTAGCTAGACATCAAGTTCTCGATCTAAGCATGCCTTGGTAAGGATCCTATGCAGCTCATACAAGAAGTGTTGGAGGCTTGAACAATAAAGCTCACATCGGGGTATAAAAACTACCTTGAGGGTTTCAAATCCCCTAATGAGAGCAACACCTTCTTACCACAAACAAGTGAATTTTGGTTCGATGGGCCTTACGAGCTCTAGCACAACTACCTTAGCATAGACATATCCTAGAGTCAACCAATGGCAATCCTAGAACGTGGAAACTCTTAATCCTTAGAAAGAAAGACATTCAAGAATGCAAATCCATCAAGTATTGCTCAACATAAACACAAAACATACAACAAGCACATGATTAGTCTTGAGCAAAAGAAAAATCCTAGACAAAAGGAAGGAGAATAAAAGGCAAAAGGCATGCAAGCAAATAATTTCCAATCGTCAACCAATGGTCGTTCGATATCAACATCACCGGCCCCAAACACACTGGGTGTTAGTAGCAAACATCCTCGAACCTTTCAACTTCCACTAAACTAAAACTATCCTAAAGCACACCAGGAAACATAAAAAGAAGAAAAAAAAAAGGATAAAAGAAATATCTCACCGAAATGACGCCTAGTAAGCATATCCAAAGTGGGAGCATGCGTCCTAAAAGGGTGAGTATCCACACAAAAGAGAAAACAAACTATATACACAAAAGGGTTAGTACGAATGAAGGTAGAAAATGAAAAATAGAACTGAAAATGAAAAAATGAAATAAAGAAATAAAATGCAACCCTCAGTCGTTTTTCTCTCTCTCTTTTTTTTTCTTTTTTTTTTTCTTTTTAACACCTAAAATCATTTAAACTGCTATCAATCATAAAAATTTTTCTTAATCCACCTATTTCAATAAGAGAATCGTCAAAAATTGTCATAAAAAACCTCATCATAAGTCATCTCAATAGACAACCAACTCATCAATCAAATAAATAACGTACCTCTACTGATCAAGTGCCACGTTGGCGTAGATCAGTACCAATCATCATCAACAATCAGAAGGACGAACTCACCGGTATCCAGCAGATCGAGAGAAACGTCCCTAAAGCAGCATCATCATCACAACTCATCAGAAAAGAAACATCAGTACACCAAGCACAGAAAAACAGCCACATATAACCAAGGAAAGGAGGCAGCAGACAGACATAAAGCATGAAGACAGTGAATACACAGCAGACGAGCAGGAGAATATCCCTGCCAAGTCACTCCCCACCAAGAGTATATCTCCCCTAATCATTAAAATAGGAATGCAAAACAAGAGAGAGGGATATGCTCAAGGGACGTGGCCTATTGGCCGCTAGGACCAGGCTCAGGCTCCTGAGGGGCCACGTCATAATGGAAGTCACCCATGGGACCGAAGGTACCCCAGCCACCGTCAAAACCCAGTGGCCATCCGTAATGACCTCGATACAAATCCTCCTGCCAAATGGGCAGCCGATCATGGGGAGCGTCTTGGGGATAGAGGGGGGCGGGGTGAGCAGGATCAACATAGGGGTAAGCTGGGTCCTCTCTATAGTCACTCCCGCGCGGGCACACGATAATCGTACTACCCATCCTCATCAGGGAAGCTGCGAACCTCCTTACCGGGCTCGGGAGGACCCTGCCAGTAAGGATAGGTAGGGAGGTTGTCCCCCCCAAGAAGGAACAGGGCTGTGCTGAGGTGGCTTATTGGGATAGTTAACAGGGGGGCAATCTCACCTCTGTTCACAGCGGAGTCATATAGGGCCTGCTGCTGCAGGAAATGGCCTTGTTGCGACTCATAATAGCCTCATACACCGAGGCTTAGCTCTTGCATTTGCCTTGCAATATCAGCAAGCTCGAATGTACCCGTAGTCTGTTGGGTAACCGGTGGCTGCTGCTGCTGCTACTCCTAAACCACCTCCTCATTACCCATCTCTACCGCATCATCCCCATCAACACCGGGCACTCGCCCGCTATCTCTTAGAACTCATCACACATTAGGGGACTGACGCGTGAGGGAAGTGAAGTGAGGCTTAGGGATGAAACAATGGTGGGCCCCTATAACTAACCACCTAAAAGCATTGGGGTTTGCTGTGGGCATGATAAAAACGACGAAGCTGGTCCAAGTAAAGGTAAATATCCCCACTACTACCTACGGCCGTGCATAGAGGTAGAAGGTTTGTGTAACCTAGCTTGGTGGCCAATCTAGTGACCATCGCCCTGCAATGTATCTCCCCTAACTTTTTCCCTTTTGCTATGGCTTGACAAGTTTGCATAAAGGGGAAACCCAAATTCAATCTCCGTGCATACTCTCCCTTTGTGGATATCCACAGGCAAAGGACCTCTTCCTTAGTCAGCTTACCTAGGTCCTGTTTATTAATAGTGGAATACCCTAATAAACGGTGCAGGATCCTAAGGGTAGGGTGCCAAATCTCACTGGCTATGTAATGCCTGGTATGAAACTTATCTTTGCCTGAAATGGAACGCCACCAAGCGAACTCACTATAATCCCCAAAGTGCTCATAAAGCGGGTAAGGTCTACATCTGAGTGAAAGTCCAGGGCTTGGTTAAACTGTGCTAGTGACATGGTTTGTTGGTCGTTAAAGAGTTGGAAAGTTATCCGAAAGTCATTATCTTCTAGTGTAACAACTTGGAAAGACGAGAAAAACTCTAAGGTGGGTTCTTGGTAGGTCATAAATGAAGAGTCTACGAATGATCCTATTCGAAGGTTATAAAAAAGAATCCATAAGTCATCATTTATCCCAAGTATTATCATATCTACCCGATAATAGTGTTTAGAATTAGGTCGCAACTTTCTTTTTTTCATATCAGAGTATATTAGGGAGTGGCTTTTGTTTAAGAACTTTAAGGTGGGCAGGGTATTGGGTTGGTCCGACTCTGGGTTTAGGGACGATCGTCCCGACTTTGAGGTTTTTCTCTTTTTCCAAATCCTTGTACTCATGACTACCCTCTTTTTTTTTCTGTTTTCACTCCTTTTTCAAAGTCAACTCCTGACTATTTCCAACCTTAACCTCCACAAACCACAATGTACCTGTTTCACAGCAATAATAATCCAACAACCATAACCAAATATATCCAACAAAAATTTCAACAATAGTCAACAATATCCAGCAATATTTTAAACAATAATCAATGAAATCTCGATAATAACTAAAGATAACCAAAATCCTTGCTTTAAAATTAATTAAAAGAGATAAAATAACAAAGGGATTTTTAATACCTTGACCTTTATGCAAAAAATTGTTGTTTTGATGTTGAAGATTTTGAATAGCAAAGAAATTCGTTGTGGTTGGTGTTGATGATGCCCATTTGCTTTTTTGGTGATGAACGAACTGTTGGATGCAAGATTGAAGCTTTGATGATGATGAATGATTCGTGGCTGATGCTTGTTCAATGATGGGGATGGTAGAGGATGATGAAGAACGGTGATGATGATGATGAACGGGATCTTGACAATGGGTCGTGTGTGTTAGAGAGAGGAAGGTTATATGGGAGGTAGGTTATGTTTGTGAGGGATGAGGGAGTTTAGGAGACGAAGCCAAAACCTTTATTTTGGGAACCAAGATTGACGCGTCCACGCCCGTGATAGGAGCGTCGGCGCCTTAAATAGCAGCGCGCGCTCCACTTCAAACGCGCTCGTGGTATTCAGTTATCGCAGATCGCGCTTAAAGCGCGTTAAAATCGCGCAGACTCTCTAGATTGCGTGAATTTTTGGACCAAAACATTGGCGCGCCCGCGCTATCTTGCTTTCGTGGACCGCTCCTAAATCGCGACAAAATCGCTCCAAATCTCTAGATTGTGGAGCTTTTCCGACCTTGAATTAGGCGCGCCCACTCCATATTTTGCACGCTCGCGCCACTTTGTTCTCGCGGATCACTCTTTAGTCGCGACCAAATCGCGCAGGCTCTCTGCCTTTGGTTTGCATTTGACCTCAAATTCTCAAAAAAAATTCATTTTGCTTCAACTCTTAACTTTCTTTTTTCAAAAACACACACAATCACACCTACATCACAATAGAGCAAGAAAAGTGTTAGATTGATTAATTTAAGTGTTTCAAAAGAAAATAAAATCAAACTAAGTTAGAGACCGGGTTGCCTCCCGTAAGCGCTTTGTTTCACGTCGTTAGCTCGACTTTCTTGAAATGAAATCAAGGGGACTTGAACACATCAATAAGTGACAAATTTTCTGGTTTTGCGATTGGTTGACCCTCAAAATATGGCTTGAGACGGTGTCCATTCACTTTGAATGGAGGGTACTTATCATTGAAGATCTCAATTGCACCGTATGGGAAGAACTTGGACACTTGGAATAGGCCGCTCCATCTAGATCGTAGCTTTCCGGGAAAAAGCTTGAGCCTTGAATTGTAGAGTAGGACCTTTTGTCCTTCCACAAACTCTTTCTTGGAGAGCTGTGCGTCATGCCATGCTTTGGTTCTAGCCTTATACAAACTTGCGCTATCATAGGCATTCATGCGGAGCTCTTCTAGCTCATGAAGATCTAGCAACCTTTGTTCACCCGCGGCATGGAGATCAAAATTGATTTGCTTGATGGCCCAATTTGCCTTATGCTCCATTTTAACCGGGAGATGGCAATTCTTCCCATACACAAGCTTATAGGGAGTTGTCCCAATTGGAGTCTTAAAGGCAATCCTGTAAGCCCATAATGAGTCAATAAGCTTACTAGACCAATCCTTCCTTGTTCTAGCAACGGTCTTCTCCAAGATGACTTTCAAGTTCCTATTTTTGACCTCAACTGGACCACTTGTTTGGGGGTGGTAAGCAAGGCCTCGCTTGTGCGATACACCATACTTTGAAAGAAGCTTGTTGAATGTATGGTGCTTGAAGTGTGAACCTCCATCACTTATGATTGCCTTAGGAACACCGAATCTTGGGAAGATGACTTTCTTGAACAAACTGACAACTACCTTTGACTCATTAGTGGGAGATGCCACGGCTTCCGCCCATTTGGAAACATAGTCAACGACAACAAGAATGTGCCGGTTCCCTTAAGATGAGATGTAAGGGCCCATGAAGTCAATTGCCCAAACATCAAAGATTTCGAGCTCAAGGATCGGATTTTGAGGCATCTCGTCACGCCTTAAGATGTTTCCCATCCTTTGGCACCTGTCACAAAGGACCAAGCGTCCTAGAACAAAGTCGGCCAAAAGAGCATCGATTGCACGACCTTAGAGGCGGTCTTTTGGGCACTCATGTGTTCACCACAAGGGGATGAGTGGCACATTGAAAGCACACTTTGGAATTCTTCATCGGGAACACACCTCCTCAAAAGCCCATCCACCCCTCTTTTCAACAATGTTGGATCATCCCATATGTATTTCGTGGCTTCATACTTAAGCCTTCGTTGTTGTTGAAAAGTGAAAGTTGGTGGAATATCACTACATGCAAGGTAATTGACGATGTTGGCAAACAAAGGGGTTTCCTTGGCATCAAGAGCATATAACACATCGTCCCTTAAAGAATCTTCAATCAGGAGGTCGTCTTCAATCATTCTTGTGCTTCCCAATCTTGAAAGATGATCGGCTACCACATTCTCGGCTCCCTTCTTATCTCTTCATTCCAAATCGAAGTTTTGGAGGAGCAAAACCCATCTCAACAACCTTGGCTTTGCCTCCTTCTTTCTCATCAAGTACATAAGAGTCGAATGATCGGTGGACACTATTGTCCTAGACCCAATGAGATAGGGCCTAAACTTCTCAAAAGCATGAACAACCGCTAGGAACTCCTTCTCGGTTGTGGTGTAGTTCTTTTTGGCGTCGTTGAGAGTCTTGGACAAATAGGAAATCACATGTAGCCTACCCTCTTTTCGTTGCCCTAGAATCGACTCGATGGCCTTATCACTTGCATCACACATTAATTCAAACGGTAGCGACCAATCAGGTCCTTAGACAATTGGAGCGGAACACAAGGCTTCCTTCAACCTAAGAAAAGCACTCAAGCAAGATTCATCAAATACAAAATCTTTATCTTGTTGTAGAAGAGATGTGAGGGGCTTAGCAATCAAAGAAAATTCCTTGATGAAGCAACGATAAAAGGCAGCATGACCAAGGAAAGACCTCACTTATCTCACATTTGTGGGAGGAGGAAGCTTCTCAATCACATCAACTTTTGCACCATCAACTTCGATGCCAGATTGGGAGACCTTATGGCCAAGCACAATACCATTCTCCACCATGAAGTGGTATTTCTCCCAATTGAGCACCAAGTTGGCACTCTCACATCTTTCTAGACAACAAGATAAATTCAAGAGGCACATCTCATATGTACCTCCGGCCACAGAAAAATCATCCATAAAAACCTCCATCTCTTCCTCAATCATGTCACTAAAAATTGACATCATGCATCTTTGGAAAGTAGCCGGAGTGTTACAAAGACAAAATGGCATCCTACGGTAGGCAAAGGTACCGTAGGGGCAAGTGAAAGTGGTCTTTTCTTGATCCTTTAGGTCTATTGGGATTTGGAAGAATCCCGAATAACCATCAAGAAAGCAATAGAATGCATGCTTTGTAAGCCGCTCAAGCATTTGATCGATAAACGGTAATGGGAAATGGTCTTTGGAAGTATTAGCATTCAATTTGCGATATTCAATACACATACGCCAACCCGTCACAAGGCGGGTTGGGACCAATTGTTGCTTTTCATTGACCATTACCGTCATCCAAATCACTATGAGCGATTGGATAGATGATCCCTGCTTCAAGCAACTTAGAAACTTCCTTCCCTTACAACCTCTTGCATGGAAGGATTAAGTTTCCTTTGCCTTTGCCTACACGGCTTAGAAACCTCCTCCAAATTAATTTTATGCATGCATAGAGAGGGGCTTATACCCTTGAGGTCCTCAAGGGTATAACCCAAAACCTTTCTATGCTTTTTCAAAACATTAAGCAATAGGGAGGTTTGCTCATCCGTGAGGCTTGCATTGACAATGACCGGGAAAGATTCATTTGTATCTAGGAAAGCATACCTCAAACCCGAAGGTAGAGGTTTCAAGTCTACCTTCGGTGGTCCCTTACCATTGGAGACCTCTTCCTCTTCTGCTTGGAAGACTTCATAAGTTGGGAGTATCTCTTGATCGGTGGTTGCTTCCACTTTGTCATCCAGCATGTCCTCATATACTTGCATCTCCTCCTTTTGATCACCTATCTCATTCTCATTCAACAAAACATTCTCAAGTGGATCGTTAGAGGCATGCACATGAGGGTATCGAAATTCATTCATCAAATTTTCAAAAGTATCTACCCTAAAGCATTCATTACTTTCAAAAGGTTGTTTCATGACATTGTTCAAATCAAATTCAATAGAGTCATTATCAACCTTCAAAGCCATTTTACCTTCTTTAACATTAATGATTGCTTTAGAGGTAGCTAGAAATGGTCTACCAAAAATTATAGGAATCCTCTCATCCTCATCCATCTCTAGAACATAAAGTCCACCGAAAATGTGAATTTACCAACTCTAAGGGGAATGTCCTCAACTTTCCCTATGGGCAATTTTGTGGACCTATCCGCTAGTTGGAGGGTGATGTTGGTAGGTGTAAGGCTTCCTACATTGAGCTTTTGGTAGACTGAGAAGGGCATAAGACTTACACTAGCGCCTAGATCGCACAATGCCTTTCCTAAGTGAATGTCATTAATGGAACAAGGAATGGAAAAACTACCGGGATCTTGCAATTTTGTTGGAAGCTTGCTAGAGAGAATGTCACTACAATTTGCGGTCAAGTTTACGGTTTTAACTTCTCTCTTCCCATTCAGTAGGTCTTTTAGGAACTTAATGTAGTGGGGCATCTCCTTCTTGGCATCCACAAAAGGTATGAAACATGCAAACCTTTGACTACTTCTAAGAACTTTCCAAATTGGGCATCAAGCCTTGACCTAGCAAACCTTTAGGGAAATGGCAATTTCTCATTCCTAGGTTGTTGATTTAGGGGCAAAGGTGTTTGATGTTTGTCACTCTCTTTTGTTAGATCCTTCTCTTTTTGCTTCTCACCCCTCTCATTTTCTTTTTCTAGGACCTCACTCTCTTTAAGTGGCTCATCCACATCTTCTAGTTCTATCCTCACATTGGAATTCTTCTCATCATTTGACTCACTCTCAAGGAATTTCCCGCTCCTAGTAGTGATAGCATACATAGGTTTGGGGTTGACACCTTGACTTGGAAAAGAGGAAGAGGAAGAAGGGGAGGATGAAGAACTAGGTTGGGCTATTTGAGAGATTTTGGTCTCTAGAATTTTCATATGCGCCTTGATTTGATTCTTTTCCTCCTCTTGACTTTTTTTAAAGCTCTCTTGATTCTTGATGAATGCTTAAAGCACGCCCATCATAGAATCCGGAGCAGCTTCCATTTGAGGAGGAGGTGTGTTGGAATTTTGGGCTTGCGGTCTCACTTGCTCAATGCTGGGAGGGATATTTTGAGGCCTTCCGTTTCTGGAACCCTGATTGGAATTTAAACATTGTTGGTTGTTGGGATAGTGTTGTTGGTTTTGATTCCAATTGGGCCTTTGGTTTGAGTAACTTCTTCCATTGTAATTGAAAGAGTTTCCCCTACCTTGGCCTTGGTTATCATAACCACCACCAATTTGATTCCATTGATTTTGATTCCAACCATAGTTTTGATTCCAACCACGGTTTTCGTTTTAATTCCAATTTGGCCGCATTCCAACATTTCCCTCACGGGGCGCAAAATTCATGGCATTAACATCTTCAACATTATCATCATTTTCATGGGGAGGGGGACCTTCACTTATGGACATACATTGTTGAGAATTATGATCATAGTTTCAACATATATCACAAAACATACAACCGGGAGGCATAGCATTGTAATTAGAAGGAGAAGAAGTAGAAGGGCTCATACCAGGCCATGGCCTCCCGCGGTAGAAGGGGAGGAACTTTGAGAATTTATCTTCATAAACTCTTCTATTTGCTTAGCCATTTGGGCCATTTGGTTCGAAAGGTTGGTGATTGCATTTATTTTCTCTATGGATTGCACCGTACCTTTGCTAGAAGTGGCTTCTCTCTCACGTTCGTACCAATCCTCATAATTGTGCACAACATCTTCTATGATACTCTCCACTTCATCTTCTCTTTTGTTCATGATTGGGCCTCCGGCTCCGGCATCAAGGCCAGTCTTGCTTTGAGGGGAGAGTCCTCTATAGAATGTTTGGAGAACTTGCCACTTAGGAATCCCATGGTGTGGGAATTGCCTTTGTAACTCTTTAAATCTCTCCCATGCCACATAAAGAGACTCTCCACCTCTTTGGCGGAAACTTTGTCTCTTTGAGCGAGCCTCGGTGGTTTTCTTGTGAGTGTAAAACCTTCGTAGGAACACCGTAGTTACCTCATTCCAAGTTGTAAGGGAACCGCGGGAGGAACATCCTTTGTCAACCAATGTTCCACCGCTCCCATGAGTGAGAACGGGACATCTTCAATCTTATGTACTCTTGGGAGACTCCGTTGATCTTGATAGTGTCACAATACTTGAGAAACTGTTTGAGATGCTCATGGGGATTCTCAAATTTCCCACTGGTCAATTGCCTCTTCTCTATCATTAAAATGAAATTAGGCTTTATCTTGAAATTGTTTGCTTGAGTGGTGGGGGCTAAGATCCCACTTTGAGAGGCATATGCTTCGGGTGATCCAAGTTACCTTAGTGACCTTTGATCACCCATGTTTCCTTGATCACCAATGCTTTGTTGATTATTGTTATTGGCAAATGGGTTGGGAATTGAGCTTGTAGATGGTTCACTCTCCTCACTTGAAGTAGGTGAAGATGGGGTAGGGGAACTTCTCACTTCCTCTTGAAGTGGGTCTTCACCTCTCTCCCTTGCTTGTCTCCTCAATTGGGCCAGAATGCGCTCTAGCTCGGGGTCTATGGACACCAAAGGCTTAGAGCAATTATGTCTCCTGTGCATATACAAAGCTAAGCAGAAAGTGAGCACTGACAAGATACATAAAAACAAAAGAAAGGAATAGATGAACTAGTCTCAACAAGAAAATAAACACACAATAGAAACCGTTTCCCCGGCAACGGCGCCAATTTGACAGGCAGTATTTTAGGTCGTTACTAGGATACCACTATCAAATGATATTTTTAGTCCTAAACATGCAACTAAAAGAGTATAGAGGCAAGTCAAGGGTCGAACACCGCTATTTATCTCCAAATGTCAATCTAGTTCGGTCAAGAAATATGATGGGTAAAGCAATGACTAAAGGGAATGAAATAACAATTAAAACAAGCACTAGGGGGAAAGGATCAAACATGCTATGAACTCAACAATGTTAGGCATCGGGAAATAGGTTTACATGCAAACCAAGCAACTCATACAAGGCAATATCGAGAATACTCTCTAATCACCTATCGGGATTAAGAGCTTTCCTAGCTAGCATACACTAACACTATCGTCGTAAGGCATACAAACTAAGGTCATGCAATAATCAATCACCTAATAACTATTCCTAAATCACACTATCGTCATGATTTAGTTCAAGTCAC